TGTGAGTTGTCCTGCCTTGTAACCTATCACTTCAGGGTTATTTCCCAGCCCCCCTGCAACAGAATAAGGTTAGGAGGATGGTAGCTATTGTAGATCCATTCAATCTTTATGGTAACCAGACTCTAGACTTTGTTGAACATTATGTAATATGAAGACAACATGTAGTATTTAAGTGACCAAGTAGTACTGGAGTAAAAGTTATTTAATAGTGTTGAAATAAAATGACAAAATTGTGAAGGATTAAAATATTCCAAGAGCTCAACTTACTTCATCTAAACATGTTTCAATCGTGTTTTATGAACACAAAATGCACATGTGTATTACATATGAAAAAGTTGTGTTGATTTAACTCAATTGTTTAAGTTTCTGCCAAAGCAAAACATTTGTGTGCAACCAATGTCCACTATTGAATCAAGTAAATCCAACATGGCCTTTTTTTCAGTGTAATTTTACTAGTAAAGTATATTAAGGTATAGGAACAAGACTGTATTCATAAACTCATTGTGAGATTTTATTACCCATGTGTAACTGACATCCAGTTGCATCCTAATCACATGTGTTCTTATTTACTTTAAGTTACTTAACTTTTAAAATGTGCTTTTTGAATCAGAAACTAACTCTAGTCCTTAAGGGGGAAGTCCTCCTTCACTGGCTGTTGTCACCTCACTCACCGCATTCACTGTTTTAAAATAGATTGCTTAGAGAATGGACGGGTTGTTCCAGACCGTGAATCGCACCTAAATTCATTCTGGGTGCTAGATCAACAGAAGTTAAATGGTGTCCAGTCAAAGTTTTCCACTGTTTTATTAATTTTATGAAAGTAATTGCTGGGTCTGCATTTCAACAGGCCCGCTAGTTCAGACTTGAAGAAAGCAAGATAGAGCAGCAATCGATCGGTGTTACTTGCTAGCAAGGGAAGATCAGAGCAGCCTTTCTCCCCTCGATCTCAGACCACTCCAAAGAACATCACCCAACTGCAGCCTTTTATTGTGCGACACACAGTTTACACCAACAACCATTGTAAAACCCCCCTATGGTGACAAAAGGTTAAAACACTGTGAGTGTGTATGAATGGGGGTGAGTTTGTGTGACTTCCTGCTGAGGATGCCTACAGTTACACTATAGCTGCCCTCACCATTCAACAGGCTGGGGAACAAAAACAGAAGAATGTCTTTGATCATACAGTTTAAGGCAAGACTTACAAATTTAAGTACAATGATGACAACATTTAACAATTTCAACCTAACAGTAATCATGATAAAGAGAAGATGACTGTTATATAGATGCAGCAAAGAGAATGTGATGCCTAAAATGTCCAGTAAATATATTGTTTTCTAAAAGCTGGCTGCCACTTTTTATGTGTTTGTGTATGAAAGTTAAATTGTGTGAATATAGGGCTTAAGGTCCAGTGTGTGTTATCTGAGGGCATCAGGGCAACCTGTTCTCACTAATACTTTCATGAAAATTAAGGCAAAGAAAGTGAACAAATTGCTTTAGGGTTTGGGTTGGAGGTGCACGTTTCACAATCAAGAGACACTAGATCATGTTCTGTTTGGGAATGGGCAGTTTATTTTATTTTATTAGCAACAATAATAGTTAAGTGGAGTTGGTTTGGGTTAATGTATGAATATGAATACCGTCCACTTTCACTCTGTCAATTTAGCAGTAATTGGCTCTTCGCTTTTTGGCTAGCTGCACTCAAACGGGAAAATCCAGGCGTTAGTCATAATGTTTGAGTTTGAAAAGCATTTTATAAAATAAGAAAAATATGAAGAAGAGCCTGTTTGGTTCACCAGACCAACAAGCTGGAGTCCACATTGCAGCTTTTCCTCACCAGGTCGGGTATACTGTGTGCAATCAGTGCTATTTTATGCACTAAAATATTCTCTCTTTTCCCAACATACCAAACAATAACCTGTATAACAGGTTACTACACGAGTTTCACAGCTAAACCATAACTGTTTCTTACAAGACACGAGTGGAAATCCTAACATCCATCAGCATATTGAAAAAAAACAAAAAAACAAAAAAAGAAACCAAAAAACCCTCCAATTACAGTCTTCTTCAGATCAAGCAATGAGATGTAGTACAAAGCTGTGAAGTACAGACTGAGGAAAGCTATTACAGCAGCTAAGAGGCAGTAAAGAGAGAAGCTGGTTGGCTTCTATCCTTCTGCTGACCCCAGGCGGATGTGTCAAGGCATGCAGCACATCACGTAGTATAGGGCTACCACCAACACCATCAGCTCTGCAGGCGGTCTGCAGGGTGATCGCAACATGTTTTACACCCGCTTTGAGACCCCCTATACCCCCAGACCTCCCAGACCCTCCACACCTCCAATACCTTTCAGAACCCCCAGATCACGCGACCCTCTCCCCCGCCAGTGGGCTCATAGACCAAGTACACAAGGTCCTGAGGATGATCAACCCCCGCAAGGCAGCAGGACCAGACAACATCCCTGGACGGGCCCTTAGAGTATGTGCTAACGAGCTGGCTGATGTTCTCACATCCATCTTCAACCTTTCCCTCAGCCAGAGCATCGTTCCCACATGCTTCAAGACCACAGCCATCATCCCTCTCCCCAAGAAAAGCCCAGAGACCACAGACCAGTTGCACTCACACCAATCATTGCAAAGTGTTTTGACAGAGTAGTGCTGGCCTACATCAAGAGCAATATTCCACACGTTCTGGATCCTCTGCAGTGTTGCAGATGCTGCTGCCCTTCACTATTCTCTCTCCCACCTGGAAAATAATGACTCCTACTACATCGGGGTACTCTTTGTTAACTACAGTGAGGACCTCACCTGGACACTGAACACCACACAGCTGGTCAAGAAGGCTCAGCAGCGGCTATATATCCTGAGGAGGCTGAGGAAACTTGGTATGTCGGCCAAGATCCTCAACAGCTTCTACAGCTGCCACGTGGAGAGCACATTGACCAGCTGCACCACTGCATGGTACGGCAGCACTACTGCTATGGATGGCAAACACCTGCAGAGAGTGATAACAGCTGCGGAGAAGATCATCAGGACTCCCCTGCCCACTATGCAGAGCATCTACCATCGCAGAGTCCAGAGGAGAGCTGCCTCCATCCTCAAAGACTCCACACACCCTCAACATGTACTGTTCACACTTCTACTCTCGAGACAAAGGTTTAGGAATGTGAAATCCAGAATGTCCCGACTCAACAACTCCTTCTTCCCCACTGCCATCAGACTCCTGAACAGCTGATCTACCGCAACTGCAATTTGCACATCAGGACACTTTGCACACTAAATTCATTTTGCACATTAAGCTCCTTTGTACATGCATCTACATCGATATCTGCATACGACATCACTTGTCTCAATCACTTGTTTTTTTTTAACTTATTTATTTATCTTTCATTATTTTTGTCCTTATTTTTTTATGTTTATTCATCTTAATATTTTGTCTTATTTTTATCCTTATTTATCTTGTTCCTTTAACCCTTACCTAACTTGGCATTCGTGTATGGACAGCAAAGGAAGAATTTCATTGCACAGAGAAAAATGCTCTTTCTTCTGTGAACATGACAATAAACACTTTGAATCTTTGAATCTTGAATCTTGAACAATGGGAAGAAAAACACACCTGGGTTCAGCCTGTCAGCAATGAATAAAAACTTTGGAAAATGTAACTGGGTGGTTGAAGCCCCTATTTACAGTATTTTATTTCACTAGTTTTTTCTTATTTTTCAGAGATAACGCCCATGTGATTCCTGTTATCATTTACTGTATTTTTCTTTATTGTTTTAAATGAAATATTGATTAAACTGAATGCCAACATTTTACTGCATTTTTATTAGAAGAGTATGCACACATATTTGCATAGTGCAGTATACATAATTATGCACATAGTGCATATTTGCAGTTTGCCCAGCTTGTTGTACATCGTGCTTCTGGCACACCAGAGTGTCCCTTAATTGATAGCTCAAAAATTGGCAACGCTAGTTGCCAAATGATGTCATTTGATGGTCAACTGGTTCCAGGAAAATGTTTTGGAAAAGGAAATACAATGTTACAATTCAAATGTAACAATGACATTTGATTTGTAACATTGTAACATTGTAACAATGACAATTTTTTTCTCTTCTGAGAGAAGGCTACTGCTGGTTTTGTTCTTCTGATTTGACAAAAGAGTACACACAGTCTGCGCAGTCACTCTTCTTCTTTTTTCCTTCTCTCATCTTCCTTGTAGAGAAATCCAACGCTTTAGCTACAATAAAGAAAATAAAGATTTTCTATATTGTAGCTATATTATCAACTCAGCAGTCAGAAATACAGCATATATACAGACTAGATGATCACATAAGGCAGAAGGCGACTGAAGACCTGCTCTGGCAACAGTAAAGCAGAGAACAGCACATTAACAGAAGCTCGAATTTTGCTAGATTTGGAGAGAGCTCAATCTTTCGTCAAGCTTTATATGTTAGAATGAGCTTTGTGTGCTCTTGTCAAATATCACGTGTCTTTTATAGAAACTTTTCTTCTGGGCTGCTGTTCTGTGTAATATTTGTGATATTTACCAAATCCTTTGTCGGATTTGCAACTGACTTGTTATGTCCCAGACGATGAGAAACACTTGTTGCTCCTGTTAATAAAATCAAAGGCTGCATATCAGTATGTAATAGTTTTCATTCTCTAAGATAAAAAATGAACAAATATTTTTTTTAATATTTTTTTTTACCCTGGTGTATAATGTATGCAGATGTTATACTGAGGAGAACTGTGAAAGAGTTTTGCTCAAGGGCATCTGGATTAATGAGCCTGCGGTTGTAACTTAGCCAAGGACATCTTAGTGGGCAGTAAATCTCTAAACTTTTAACAACATTCATGAAATACTGGAGCCTAATAATTGATTTTGAGAATTCGTTTTACTATTAAAAAACAGAATTTAAATAAAAAAATATTACTGCAGTAGAATCATATTAATATCATATTCTAGATATATATGCAAATAATATAAATGTCAATCTATAATCAACCTTTGAAATGACAACAAGTCATGCAGGAAATGAGGACGATGATTACAGTCACACAGCAGACCAACAGTCCTCCAAGAGTCAGAATAACTGGGTCCACTTCTGTTCCTGGAAGAAGAGAAATGTTTACTACGCTCAAACAAATTTTATATTTTAGCAAAAGATATTCTTGGAAGTATTTTGGCAGTTTTCGGCAAACAGTTAACAGCAACATAATTGACTGGTAATGCTAAATTGCTTAACTTTTTGTCTCCTTCCTCAGAATCTTCCCTTTGTAGACAGACAAACACATTTTTTGGCAGAAAGCTGAGTATGATAATATTTGATGAATTTCTGTATGTTTGCTTAAGGTGACAGTTTAGGTCTTCTTCCAGAGCCTGACAGTGTGGTGACAAAGAAGAATAACATTTCATTAAGCTTCTGCAATGGCCCCCCAAAAGCTCTGACCTCAATCCTACTGAGAATTTGCAGACTGTTCTTAAAAGCCAGGCATGAAACAGACCAATTTTACTAATAAAAGTGGTCAAATATCCACCGTAATTCTGCCGTAATGCATCCTGGTAGCTGCCAAAAGTGTCTGGTCAAGTTTTTAAGAAACATTTAACCAAATATTAATGAGGGTACATGTATACTTTATGCCTGTATATATACTTTTGATTCTGTGAGGATTAGAGGAAATTAAGCTTGAGCATCTTAGTAAAGATTCATGGTGGAGTCATTTCACCCATGAAAAAGAACCGTTCACAGAATTCATTCCCAAATTACCATCATTCATGCTCATCATGCATGTATGTAACCTTTTGACCACAGCTATAGATATGATAAAGAGAGTCTGCTGAATTTCAAAGTGACATGAAATATTATTTAAGTGTCTCTGAACATAGCGTCATAGTGTCAGACAGGAAGTTGGGAATAATTTTCAAATTGCTGATCTACTGGGATTTTCATCACGTAGCCATCTAGGGTTTATCGAGAATGAAAAGTGAATCTAGAAGAAGAAAAAATCCAGTTAGCAGCAGTTCTTCAGGTGAAGATTCCTTGTTGATATGAATGACCGCACTCCTCAATAACTCAAATTATATCCAAGGTATGCAGAATAGCATCTCTGAATGCAACATGTTGAACATTATAGCAGATGGGCTACAGCAGCAGAAGACCACTCTGTCAGCTAAAAACAGGAATCTGAGGCTACAGCTTGCATGGGCTTGGACAAAAGAAGAGTGGAAAGCTCTAGCCTGGTGTAATAACAGTTAATTTCCACTGAGTCATCTGGATGATAAGGTCCAAATTTGACATAACCAACATGGATACTTTAGATCAATGGTTCAGGCCGCTGGTGATGTAATGATGTGGGTAATACTTGTTATTTGAACATTTCAACTACTGTAACAAATAAACAGTAATACAACCTTATTTTACCTTTTACATTTTTCTCAGTACAGATGTGAAATACATCAAACGTAAAAATGTTCTACACAATGAAATACATTTTGCTTTTCACAATGTCACCACATTTTGTTTTAAGTAATGTAGCCGTTTCAAAAATATATATGAAATTATGATTTCAATACAACCTTTAGAGTTGGCTTGTGCTGACTTCTACAGATAACCCAACAAATACCAAACGGCCAATCAAGTTCAGGCTACCTGTTTTTATATGTGTAAAAGAGTTTAGGATATTAGAGCTGGACTTACTTGTGTCCACTTTAGATCCTTCACCAAACAGAATCACTCCACATGTGACGACAGCACAGTAGTAAGTCCCAGTATCAGAGAGGTTCTGTATTGTGTTGGACAGATGGTAGATGCAGCGTCTCTCTGTATCATCCATGCTGTTTCTATGAGTGACATTTCTATAAATGATACTTGGATGGTTTTCTCCTGATCCACTTTTGAACCAGTGCACACTGCGATCACTGGGACACTGAGCACTGCTTTCTTTGTTCTTGGTGAGAAATGAACACTGGAGGGTGACTGTGTTTCCCAGTTGGACCGATGATGACTTTGGAGTTTGTGTCACATAAACAGATGTCTGGTGTTTATAATCTGTGTGATGTATTAAAAGTAGAGTTTGAACAGAAATGATGGAAAGATGGAAAAGATTTGTAATTATTGACAGAAAAAAACAACACCAATATACACCAATCATAATGTAGCATATTTTACCATTTACAGCCAAGAAGAAACCTCTAACAAAATGTTGTAAAAACTCGGTTCCAGTTTGACAAAAGTATGTTGCTTCATCCTCTTTGTTTATGTGATCGATCATAAGAAAACACTGATCATTTGATTTATGGACATGGAAACGTGTATGATTAAATGGACTGATGAGCTCTATCTTCTTATAAACTACTGTAGCTACTGTTTGGACCATTTTCCCAAGAGACGGCTTATACCAGTGGAAGAATCTGTCTGTCTTCT